GTGCATCAGAAACACACGAATAAATGAGTCCCCGTCGTTGCTGATGGGCACTCCTCGCACGTCTATGCCGATTCGCTCTGTCAGGTCAGGTCCGAGTCACGGCACCATGTGGGTTTGGTGCTAGAGCTGGCGGGCACAGCCGAGCGTGTATACACGAGCTCTTTGCAGGATGTGTACACTTTCCTGCTACGGATAGATGACCAGTGAGAGGTTCGCAACTCTCCGAGGACGCAGAGGACAACACATCGTCAGCACCTCCAGAGACATCTTCATCAACATCGTTGGCATCACAATCATACGTAGCAGCATCATCATCATCTTTATCGCCACCAACACAATGAACGTAACGATCGCAAGACTCACGAAACGACAACCAGAAACCATGATGCAGATAAGCAGGCACTCCGCCAATCATGTCGAGGCGAGCGAAGCCGTGTGGCTATGCGATCCGTGTGAGTGGTGTGTAGAATCGGGCGTGGGTGACGGATGCGACCAACAACTAAACCGAAGCAAATCCAACAACAGCAGACATCAAACCATGACATCGTCTAAGAAACCGACACCCCAAATCCAAACACAGAACCCGAACCCCAGGAAATGCCGGCCTCTTGCTCCTCCTCCTCCTCCGCCAATCCCCCCCGCAGCCGTTTTGGCTCCAGCGAGCTTGAACAAACTTCAGAATGAGTGAGCGCGAGCGAGCTCGCTTGCTAGACCTTGGACGGGACCACCACATCAGCCATGCTGCCCTGGAGGCCCTGTTAAAGCAGCTGTCTACGGAGGATCTGCCAAAGGCCTTCAGCTCGAGTACTCAGCAGAGTCATCGTCAGAAGGAGGCCTTCCAGAAGACGTCCTTTGAAACGCTGTGCCAACGTATCGAGGTCGAGACCGATGCAGGCCTTGAACACTTTTGGGCGCGACACCCGTTCGCCTTCATCGGAGCGGCCTGCAAGAGGGGCGAGCCCTTCCGCAAGCTCATCGCGTGAGTTCTGGGCCGCGCGGGGAACCGCATCAGGGTTGTGGCGTACAGTGACGAAATCACCCCAGGCAGCCCGCTGAAAAAGGGTGAACGGCCGGAAGCTGGAGGCCATCTATTGGTCCATCTTAGATGTTCAGTTCCCTGTGCTTTCCTCCGAGCAGGCTTGGATGACGGCGTGCGTTTACAGGAATGACCTCGTTCTTCGGCTCAAGGTTGGGATGTCCCAGCTACTTCTTCGCCTGGTGATGAAGGTGTTCTTCGGCGCGCCTCGCCAGTCCGATCTGCGCGCGGGAGTCGAGCTCAACCTCCATGGAGAGGCGATGCCTCGCATCTTGCGGGGCTCACTGGCCATCATCATACAGGGTGAGCGAGCTTTCAAGTACATCGTGGAGGTGATGGGCGCGACGGGGATAAAGCTATGCGCACTTTGCCAGAACGTCGTGTCGTTCAAATGCAACCTGGCGCGCGAAGACAAGACTGGCTACAGGGTGCCAAGTGCGGAACTGGACTTTTCCAAGTTCAAGCTCCACTCGAACACGAGCATCCAACGCGTCCAAGACAGGCTGGCTGAAGTGGAGGCGACGCGGGGTCCCACTGCCCGCCGGGAATTCGAGGCGCTGCTGGGCTACAAGATTAACCCCGGGTCCATATTGCAGGACAAGGACCTGGGGATCCCTGTCGCAGACGTCTGGGCGTGCGATTGGATGCACAACTACCTTATTGGTGGAGTGTTTATCATTGAGCTTGACGCCGCTGTGGGGATGCTGGAGACAGGGAAATCGAACCTCGGAGGGGCCGCGCTGCATGAGCACTTCAAACTTTGGACGTGGCCAGGTGGCTACGCGAGCGGGAGACAGTTATTCAAGAAGGTACCTTCGCGTGAATCCAGCGGCCGCGCCAGCGAGTGTATATCCGCTGCGCCAGTGATCAGGAAGTACATGATGGACGTGGTGCTCAATGAAGCTACCCATCTACATGGTGCAGTTGATAGCTCGGTGAAGGCGTGCGACGTGCTCGCATTGCTCTCGCTTGTCAGCGCAGGAGTGGTCGCGCCTTTTCAGCTGATGAATGCCGTCGTAGCTCGCAACGCGGCGCAGAAAGCTTTCAGGGGCACATCACTCTGGAAGCCCAAATATCGTTCTTACCATGCACTTACCGTCGCTGTTGCAGAGGCATGGGGTGTTACTCTCGACGTTTCTCATGGAGCGGAAACACCGCGCGCCACAGAGATTCGCAAACGACCACAACAACACAACTGCTTCCGAGCGGAGTTTGATCGAGGAGATAACGTACCAACATCTTTTCGAGCTCGAGTACGGGCTCGAAGGTCTCGACCTTCTCGAGCCTCGGCCTGTAAGCGCCAGAATGATGCACGCCATCCGTTCTGGTATGTTTGTTCGCCCAGGCGCCCAAGTTTTGTCAGGTCGCGCTGCATGTGTGCACGGCAGAATTCTTCAGATGCATAATGTTGCGTGCTGCGCTGCTGACAGCTACGGCCGTGTTTCGTTTGTCCGGTTGTGGTTCCACTCGAGAGTGGGCGGCGATCTTTTCTCGTGCACCTCGCCTTGGGACGTTGTAGAAACCAAGGGCCATTGTGTTCGGTGCCGTGTAAGCGATGCCCCTCGTTTGTTCCCAGCCGAGTGCCAGATGGAGCCTTGTATAGGTGGGGTTGCTGCAGAAGGCTCCGCGGCGCAGGTGATCACTCCTGCAGCGGTGAGGCGCGGACACTAGTGCCATAGACAGTTGAAACATAGAGCGCGACATGAAATGCGTTGGGTCAGCCTTTCTTCGTGGAGGCCTTTCGGCCATTACCGCCTGGCCTCAAATGATATACCTGGGGGCCTTTCGGCCGTTGCCGCCAGGCCAATCCTCCTCCTCCTCCACCTCCTCCTCCACCTCCTCCTCCTCTTTCCTCCTCCTCCCCCTCCTCCTCCTCTTCCCCCTCGCCCTTCTCCTCCTCCCTCCCTCCTCCCTCCTCGTTCTGGCCCTGTTCCTCCTCCTCCTCATTTCCCTCCCTCCTCCCTCCTGGTCCTCCTCCCCATCATCCTGCGCCCCCTTTTTTGAGGTTGGAGTGGCTTCCTGAGATCGGCGCCCCGCGGTCGTGGCAACGCCCAAGGGCTTCCAACTCGAAGCCCTGCCCCTTCTGTAGCGGCCCCTGGCCCCCTGATCGAGCCCAAGCTAGATACTTCACGTGGTGGGCTAACCTGCTTAGCCTGCTTAGGCTAAGTAGGGTCGAAGCACTTAGCGCTAAGTACTTAGGCTAAGCTGCTTAAGTGGGCGGCTAATCCGCATGCTAAGCGGGCCGCCGATCTTAGCAGGGCCAGGGCTGGGGCCGGCCAGGGCTGGGGCCAGGGTTGGCCGCCGGGGCTGGGACTCGGGCCGTGGCCGGGACCGGCCGAGGCCGAGGCTGGGGCCGGGGCCGGGGCCGGCGCTGGGGCCAGTTTCTCATCCATGTTGAGATGACCACTTTCTGTGGTTATTGCTTCTTATTGATATAAGAGGGTAGGCCACTTAGGGTTGGTTGTGCATCCTGGTTGCAACGCTTGTCATCTTGGCCATAATCATGGTTATAACCACTGGTAATTAGGCCAGCTAACCAGGTCATGGGGCGTTTGCTAACCTGGTTAGCTAGGCGGCCTAACCCAGTTAGCGATGCCCCCTTTGTGAGGATTCCGCGTGTAGGTCTCGTTGCCGAACCTGCAATTGTCGAAATTGCCCGTGGCAAAGCCAGGCTCAGGAGTCAAGGAAAAGGGCCACCTCCTTCCTCCTCCTCCTCCTCCTCCTCCTCCTCCTCCACAGTTACTCAATATGAATACTACTCTCCCTCTTCCCCTGATGACGTGCTGGGAGTGTTCGCCCCCCCCCCCGCGTCCTGCTTTTTTACACGCAGGATTCCCGGGAGTTGGGTTCTCGCTTGCATTTTTTTCAAAATGCTGCTCTCGCTGAGGCGCCGGCCTCATGTTCGGGCCCCGCTCGTTCCGAATCGTGCTCCCGCTGCAGCGTGGGTCCCATTTTCGGATCGGTGTTTTGCCTCCGTCGTTCAGGATGGCGTTCTCCCCCAGCGCGGGCCTCTTTCTCGCGCGCCCATCCGCCCGCCACCACCGCGCCGCGCCCCGCCCCGCCCACCGCCACTTCCACCCACCAACGCACGCACGCACGTACGCACGCGCACCGCTACCACCACCCCACTACCCCACCCACCACCACCACGCTACACCGCGTCACGCCACATCACAGGCGCGCGCACACAAACGCACACGCACGCACACACACACACATACGCACACACACACACACACACACGCACACACACACACACACCACCACCACCACCGCCACCACCACCACCACCGCCATCACGCACGCACGCGCCTGGCCCACCACCAAACCACCAAGACGCCACACCACGTCACACCACAGCACACGCGCACACACGCACACACACACCGCCACCACCACCACCACCACGACCACCACCACCACCACCACCACAACCACAACCACAACCACAACCACAACCACAACCACAACCACGCACACACGCACGCGCGCACGCGCACCACCTCCCACTACGCACGCGCGCGCGCGGAACCACAGGTCCGCTACGACACGCGTCCGCGGGTAGAGAAAATCAGCGCCAAGGTAAGGGATGGGAGGGAGGGGTAGGACGTCAGATATGACGCGAACGCACATAGCTTGTCCTCCTCCTCCTCCTCTTCCTCATCGTTTCCTCCAAGATCCCCCTTCTTCGGCCTCTAACCGATCGACGTCCTCCTCCTCGTCCTCCTCCTCCTTCTTTCTCCTCCTCCTCCTCCTTTCCTCCTCCTCCCCCCCTCGTATTCGTTTTCGTCGCCGCCCTCCTTCTCCTTTATCCTTCTTTGCTGCTCCCTCTGCTGCTCCTGAAGCTGATGCCCTCTCCTGCTGCAGTTCCTTCCTCAGTTCCTGTTCCTTGCATCCGAGAGCGCAGCGTCAGCGGCCGCGCGCGCCTCTTCGGGGAATGGCCGCGTGCCCCCCCCCTGCAGAA